AAAATTTCCAAGTAAACGATACAATTGATTACTTCTAAATTCAGCTAGAAGTGTCACACTATGTTGTGAATAAAACAAGAATGTGTTGTAAACTTCACCAGTCTGAGAGAAATGGTCAGAGACAGAGTCAAGAACATTCCTTTAACATCTAAGTTTAAGTATTAATGATATAAAGATGGACATACCTTTATGTTTAGGCTGACATTTTTCAATCAGAAAATCCTGAAAGTGTCTTTAATCTATATAATTTTTTTTTTTTTTTTTTAACAGAATAGATAGCTAGAAGCAATAAAAGGTGTGTGCTCATCCAGCTAGGATACTGGGCAGTGATGGCAATATGCAGTTCTTCATGTCTTATAATGCATTTGCTTATCACGGTCAGTCACTGGGTATATATTCAATAAGTCTTTCTTTAGGTTTTACAGGATCGGTGCCAGAAAAAAGCCAAGCTAGATTTAAAGGCTTTCATTTGATTGAGCAAAGCACCTTGTCCAAGAGTAGATATTACTGCCAGTGAATTTTAAGACAGTGAGAATGTTCTCAAAATCAGAGCATCAGACATGATTTTGTTTTCGTAGAGGTTAGAGCTAAATTGTGTGTATTGATGAAGAGCTCCTCCGTCTCTTAGTTCCGCTGGACATTCAGCGGCCTCACTAAAGGCAGGAGTCAACACAATCAAAACCTCTCTTCACAGTCATGAGTGGGTGACCTCTGATTTCTCAGCACAGCAGATTCGTCCCTGAATCAAACAAAAAAAGGAAGGTCTGGTTCTTCCTGCGATTAGGTGTCGCCATGGAAACAACCATTTTTTTCTGTGCTCTCAACAATAGCCATTAGAATGAAAGGAATTGTCTGATGGAATTAGAGCGTGTTTCATCTCTCTTTTTCATGTAAAGTAATCACAGCGTCAGCAAACTGTACAAGTGTGCGCAACATGTGCGTACATGATAGGGTATCCTCCATTTTAAGGTGGATTTCTTTTCTATTCCTGAAAAGTTTTCAGTAACAACAAAGTGTTGAGAGCTGAAATGGATTAAACAACATTTATTTAATTAAACAATGAGTTTGTCCCATACTTTAACACTATTTATTGAAATGCACATTTCAATTTCAAGTTTGTTTGAGCATGTAAGCTTTTAAACATTTTCCCTGTAATTATAGCCTGTTCATTTCTATCTTTATACCTTAACTGTGAAGTTTTAAATACTATCAGATCACAGAACTTAAGCAAGCAGGAATGAATAGTGTTGTCAGGTTATGTGGCGGTTTTAAGAGGATCAGACTAAAGCTGAAGATGGTTTCCTGCAAATTTAATGTCCAAATGGGCAACAGAAGCAAAAGTCTAAAGAAAAAATAGTTACATCCAGGAAAACAGACATGAAGGACAAAGAAATGATGATGAGGAACCAGCAAAAAGTGGCTGAACAAGAGGTGTATACATGCAAGACAGAAACAAAGACCAGGCTTATCAGCAGACTGGGAGCAGGTGTGGACAGAGGAAACTAGAAGGGAGCTAGATGAAAAGGAAGCTGACACAAGAAGGCAACAGAGGGCAAACAATAAATACATAAGCACTCAAATACAAATAAAAAATAACTAGAATAACACAAAAAGGAAGTAAAACCGATGAACACTCAAAGAAAAAACTTAAACAGAGCCAAAACCATGACAGGCGTGGTGATGATAGCTAATCATGTGAATTATCCCTATGATTCTTTTCTGCTGCTTGAACTAGGGTTTGAGTGATGTCCATTTGGTGTCACCCCAGACTCAGTCGCTTAGGTATTGTAAAATCAGTGAACATTAGAGAATTTATAATGCTTTATAATTCAGAAAATGTTTTGCTTTTAGAAAGGTTAGTCTGTGCATGTTTGACCTGAGGCTTCCAGCACATCTTGGCATCATGTCTATTTTCTTTTCAAAATTCCAAATAACATTAACTTAACTTTCTCCAAATTCATGGACAATTTGTTTTTACAACAAATTTAACAAACAACTTCTTAACATTTTCATCCTTTTTTAAATGTGATATCATCTACAAAAAACAAAAAAAAAGGAAAATATTTTAAAGTTACAAACGTCACTTATGTAGAGAATAAACGGTATAGGTCCCCACACTGACCCCTGGGGTCGACATCTCCTATGGAAGGCATCAAGACATCTGGAATATATGCTGGAACCACCACAGCTCACTTCTCTCGTCAAAGAAGAGCAACAGCTCTACACCAAGTCCCCCCCCTGATGGCCAACCTCAACCTGTTTTCAAGGGAGAGCCTGGCCAACCTGTTAAGAAAGCTAATCTCAGCTGCTTGTATATTTGCTCTCATTTTATCAGTCATGATGACACTAATTTCATGCCATAGGTGAGGGTAGGAACATAGACCTTGCATTAAAAATCAAGAGTTTCAAATCAAAATTCAAGAGACGTCCCATTCCCCCTCACTTGAGAACAACATTTACATTCCAATCAAAATAAGCCACTCAAACCAAAACCCAGGATCCTTTTTTTTACCTTCTCTCCTGTAGTAAGTAAAGTGTCCATTCAGTGCTGATACTAAAACAATCTGAATCCAAAAAAATATCCAGAAGTCTCTCTTCTTCTTGTGATTTAGACTTAGACTTTGACAACATTTATTGTCATTTTGTATACAAAACAAATTTCGCTTTATACAGCTCTCAGTGATTAAATGTAAATATTTGGGAGAGAAAAAAAATATGGTGCAAAAAAACGCATTTATTTGGTTAATTAAGATCAATCAATGATAGATAGTGTGATTAAGGGGTTTATAATATTACATTATTCTACATGATAGATTAATACTATATCATGCTGCTTTAAAAAAAGAAAAAAAAAAAAAAAGTTTTCTGCCTGTTCTAGTAGAGTATTATCTAATTTTGGCATCATTCCTGAACTGCATTAAGCTAACCACATGGGGCTCGGCTTCAGTTGTAAGACTAACTTCCCCCCAGGGATTATCACATGGAAGTTGGCTCCAACACTTGGTCTGCTGAATCAATAGACCTCCCGCTGTGCTCCACAGTGACAGAGAAATACTCATTATTTGATCTTTAAAAGAAGTGCAGACAGCAGAGGCAGCTGTGTTTCAGTGCTGTCAGAAAGAGTCAATAACGTGTGTGTCTGGGAAATGCTGGTGTGGCCTTAGAGGACATATCAAAGCGAGATAAATGTTTGGATCTTGGGATATTTGAAGTAAAGGAAGTCTGGAAAGGTTATTGACCGTTTTCAACACTGTTATTGGTAGCACTGCTAAAGTTGAAAGATTTTCATTCACTTCTAGAAACAACCTGAAGAAATAAACACCTTTATTTAAACATAATCTTCAAAACTATGCCATTATAGTTATTTTAGGATGATCACACATTTTTTTAAATCAGTTACATATTAGGAATAAATAAATACATTTTGAAATCATGATTGAATTTATGAATAGGAAAATATATATATTTAAACAAACGCAACACCTAGAACTGGTTGGACTCGTTTTACCACCAATGACTGCTTTGAGCTCTATGTAGAAACTGGCAACAAGTCTTTTATATCAGTGATGAGGAATTTTGCCCCTCTCCGTGCAGAATTTGAGTTTTTATTATTCAGCCACTTCAGCACATATATTAGAATTTGAATTACCATTTGAAAGTAATGCTTAGGTAACTCAGATTCAGCTGGACTTTGACCAGCCTAGTCCAAAACATTATTGTTATTTTTTTTTATGCATTGAAATTAATGCTGGATGTCATTATCAAATGTTTAATGATTTAAAATATTATTAGGTAGCCTGAGTGGAAGAAACTGGTAATGGTCATGCAAATGCATAGGATGTACTGCAAGTTGTTTATGCACTGTTAAAAAATTTATTTTTAATTGCTAATGAACTGTACCAGTGATTCTTAGATCTGGTCCTCAACTACCTCTGTCCCCAGAGTAATAGGTGTCTCCTTGGTGAATCACACCTGATTTCTATGAATGTTGGATTAAAAGGTCCTGCCGCATTTCATAGCTGCAGAGGAGCCACTGATCTCTATTTATTAACTGGATTGCTGACAGCTCATTGGTAGTGCAGGGTGGAGTAAGGTCAACCGGCAAATTAGTACTCACTAGTTAAACTACTCAGAATGTAAATAATACATGCGCTACAGCATCGAACAATTATGAGTTTCTCATTTTCGAGGTTTTAAAATAAAGGAATATTCATCACTTTGATACACTCTTGCTGTTTCACAGCATCAGTAGATTACTGTAATTGATGGTAAAAAAAAATAGGCTCATCACAGTCCATGAAGTCTATAAATCATTTAATATGACATATTATACAAATCCATCACAACAAAATTAGTGTGTTAATGGAGCACAATGATAAGGTTGTCAGATACTGAGAATATTACACACCCTCATACACACACTATTTGATGATGTGCCCAAGGTGCTAAATTAAGGATGTACATGTATTGATTACATTGTTATGGTAATAACATTACATTACAGGCCTTTTTATGGCATGAATCCTTGAGAATGGGGAGTACCAAGATTGCAGCAGGTGACTTCATTTTCCTTTCAGCCTATCAGCAATCCAGTGAATAAATAGAGATCAGTGTGAGGAGCTCATGCAATCTTTTGAAGCAGGTGTTCTGCAAGAAAGAGACATCGAAAACATATAGAGCAGTGGAACTTGCAGACCAGCATTGAAACCCATTGAACTATACAGTAGCTGTAAAATATTTTTGATAAACACAATTTGTCTTTTTCATTGCTAGACCCTGAACATTATAATATGTGACTCAGTCCACACTGGATACGTGCAGATTGATTCCCTAGTTTTAAAGTGATTAGGCTTATTTCAAAAGATGAGCTCATAAAAAGGATGTAGTCAAGCTTGTCTGTTTCACCATCTGAGTGAGAATTGAGTGGAAATTGAAATTATCGATTAGGAGTTAGCTCTTGGGATACACTCATTTTATGTCAAGAAGCCACAAAAGTAACATTAATCTCCAAGAATTTATTATTCTGGTGTAAATGAAATCAATATTAACATGTGTTACAACATTAATGTATTTTGTGCTTTGATGTGATTTAAACTTGTTACAACTTGAATGTTTTATATAACAACTGATAGAATTACATTGCATATAAAAGCAGGAAAAAAAAGGAAATTTTGCAAAACAAAACTAACAGCAGTTACATGAAAGGTTACTAGGTGGCTGATGGCTTACTAAGGGATGACAACAATACAAGAGTTCAAACATAACCTGTCATGACGCAGGATTTTTACTGCTTATTTTAGCCACTTGACAACAAATCAAGCTGGTTTACTCTTGCAGAAAAATTACATATATCTTGGTCATATATATTTTTATGTAGGCTTTCAGTTCAGTCTTGAAGGGAAAAAAGCATATACAGAGCCAAAGCTAAATTGTAAACAGCAGATTACTGAAGCTTTATCACTTGCAGTTTCACAAGGTGGCAGTTAAAACCTGCAAACATAAAAAAGGTAGATAACATGTTGATATTTACCTTTAGTCTGCATCAAAAAGTTACAGTATCCTATACAACTAATCATGAATTTATCTCGTTTGCTCTTCAGTCTAGCGTTCATAGATGACCGCTAAAGGGATTTGGTGAATTATAAATAGACTACACTGTACTCATCAGCACTTCCATGTTTACATTTCTATCATTGACATGTATTTTAAAGAAGGTTTTGTTTTGTTGTCAGTGGCTGAAGCACATTCAGACAAACTTTTTATCAGTATATCACATCAAGCAGTACACTTAAATAGAAAAATGAGGCATTTACAGTGCATACCGATGTCAGTTCCCTGTTGGGGAAATTTGAAATTATGGTCAATGTGTACTTACAAATGTAATTTCAAAAATAAGGCCAATTTTACTACCAGACATATTCTTAAGCCTACAGATAAATTATAAGATCAACAGTAAACTGTAGCATTTCTTACATTTTATTCAACTAATTCTGAATCTAATTAATTTATATTTATTTGTGCGAAAGGAAGGGAAATCTTGAACTGATGTTGATAGCAGAAAAAAAAAAACAAGCCTCTGTCTGATCACTAAATCATCATTAAGGTCCTGGCCTGCATGCATAAACATAATGAGGAGAAAACATAACACCTCAGGGGTTCTGTTGCTGAAAAAGCTGGATGGTCAGTTCGCATAACCAGGAGGAAGTGCTCAACCCACACAGAGCACAGAAATATAATCCACATTCTATTGTGTTTCAGTCTTGGTGTAAACATTTTGCTTGAAATAAATTACAACACATTTAGAAGAATTTTCTCTTCAGTTCTCATGTAGAGACATGCATCTGCTGTACCCCCTGGTATTCCAGACTGCTGATGTGCTCCAAGGCGGGCTGCAGGTACGAAGCTGCCATTTATTCCGTAGGGGTTGTGGCCACTGGGCTTAGGATGGGGGTCAGCAATTCCCTCATCGGGCTCATAGGCGAAATGGCCTTATGGCTGAAATACTCAACTACTTGACCAGGTACTTCTGCAAGAACACACTTCGCCAAGGCTGCAGGAGAAGCCTGCAACAAAGAGAAAAGCACTGGTAGATATTTTTCGAAGGTTGTAAAACACTGTTAATCTGAGATACAAAGTGTTTTCAGATAAAGCTCTAGGGGATGTTGGCAGTGCTGCGCTTTCTTTGCTTCAAGCTAATTAGAAAAGGTAAGTCAGGGTGTGACATTATTGGAACAACTTTTCTGGACATTATGCTAGAAGTAGTCTGTCACATATTGATCCTGAAATCTAAAGCCACATTTTGTGTTTTTGTTGCTGTTATAATGCATGTTATCAATTTAACATACTGATGTCATTCAGTAAGATTTGATAAAGAGTTTATAAATTCCATAAGTAGGTTTCTTTTCTATTTCTTTAGTATTGGCTAAGGACTAAGAAACTGAAAGCAAATCTTAACCACAAATGTCAAGTTAGCTCATACATACAACAGAGTGTCTCCTCATCTGAATAAAAAACTGGGCAGGTTCAAGCTTTTTAATAACATTGTGATATCTATAAATGAAATCTTTTTAAGGATGAAAATGATTTTTTAGACATTTAGATCTGAAAATCTCAGTTTTGTTTTACTTTAGGTTGAAAATACCTATAATTGGGTAGTTTAAATTCCAGTTGAAGAAATATCCCAAAAGTTATTCGTACAGTGTTTTATATGTGGAGGCGGAACCGTGAGAGCAACAGAGTGGCTTAACTCCATCTGATCTGCATCTGCATGTGTGAAGTGAAAGGATTTTAATTAAGAAATCAGGTCAGCAGATCAGATGTTTTTTGTACACGAACAGTATGACAGGCAGGGCCATTATGTCTACAGACTGTGAAAGGATTTCGTTGACATTGTGCAGCTCATGCATTTTAGTCATTGTATTCTGTTCTGAAAGCAGGGACACTCTTTCATTTATTTGTTGGAAAGGAATGTGTTGCATTCAATCACGGCTAAGCCTGAAAGTATTCATACCTTGAAGATTTATAGGGATTATATCCAAAGGGTTACGTTAAAATATTTTATATTTAACCACAGGTTTTCTATGACTTAGATTGATGTTAACATTTGGAGGATTTCCAACTTAGATTCCAAGCTTGAATCAAACTGAAAACCTTTAAAAGCTCAAATTTAGGGAAATCACATTTTTTTTCAAAGTTGTTCCATATCTAATTTTAAAAATTTGTGCAGAATTGCCAACTTGTCACATTTGAAAAATAGACAATGCAACTATCAGAGGACAAGGGAGGACTAGAACTACTAAATATAAACTACTACTACTAAGTGTACATTTCTTAATTTACATTCTATTAATATTTTAACTAAATAAACTTAATGCCTACTGATCTTTTCCACATTCTGTCACAAAACAACTTTACCGGTAAATGTCTATATATTTATTGAGATCTTCAGGGTTGTTTTTCAACATGAATTAGTCCGTATTGGGTTAAAAATGTTAGAGGGTCTTCATATTTATTTAAATCACAGTCAGTCATTTTTATGATTAGATTGTGGACCTTGTATGTAAGTATAAACATATTTTATTTTATTTTTATTTTTGCCGTATGACTGCGTATTGAAGAGAGGGCAAGATAAAGAGACATCTGACATAAGAGAGTAGTATTTTAAAACTATGTCAATTTTCTCCTACAAAGATTGTTACATGTTCCTAAAGGCACTTTAGATAGAGTATTCAATTCAGAGATATTACTGTGATTACTGTCAATGTAATATATATTCAAAACGTGTGTGTGTGAGTGCTCTTGTTTTTAACACATTGTGGGGTCCATTTAATGGAAAAATAGCAAGCTGTGGGGACCAACTGCTCCTTTTGGGGCTCAGAGGCTGGACCCCAATGAGGCAAATTGCTGTTTTTGGGTCAGTGGTCATGTTTAGGATAAAGGTTTCAATTTAGTACTTATCCAGTATTCAGTATTTGTCCAAATAAAAATAAAAATAAAAATCCAGGAAAAAAGAAGGATGTACAAACTTTAGAGATGATTAGGTAGATTTTCTAATTAAATGAAAACATACATTATTTTTTTTGTATATATTACATGGTTGTATCACATTGTGAGAGGTTTCCTGCTTACTTAATCTCCTATCAGAAACAAACTTCTTGATTGAATGCAAAATCTTTGCAAAACTTTTTTTTTATATTATTATTTTTATTCTTGTATTTAAACAGATGATGTGAAAGTTTGTGAGGAGGACTGTGGGGCTACTTCAAGCAAGAACCAAATTAGGAATATATAAACTTAACTATGTTGCAGGCAGGAAATATAACATGTAAATAAATAATAATAACAGTAGATCTGCAGCTTAGTTAAAAAAAGGGGTAAAACAGGTAACCTATGAAATCAAAATGCCCAGAGAGTCACTTCTAATGGCCCAATATCCAGGCTGCATTTTAGCCATATTTCCCCCCAGCAACAGTATGGGTCGATCATTAGAAGTCCTGCTGCACCTCAGAGGCAGGGGGGTTTCAGGTTACAGCATCAAGCTTTTTCAGGCCTTTTTGTGTGTCTCTGGGCAGACTTCCTCCTCCAGCATGGCACAAATATGTTGCATCTCTTTCCACACAAATATACATGAACACAACAACAGTATAACTTAGATGATAATACTGTTTTGCAGAATTTTGTTGTTGTTAATGTTTTATATGTTAAAAAGGTGTAATTTGCAAACCAAATAATGTCTTTTTTGCAACCACAAGCTGACCAAAATGGTAATATCAGGGAAACATACCAGCTTAAGTTAAGAAAATTCAAGTTTACACTCTTTAGATAAAAGGTATTTGAACATTGAAATTTAATTTATTAACCCTTTGGGGTTGGAAATACAGCTGGTTTTCATCATACATAATATTCTAATGAGCACCAAGAAGCAGTAATCAAAAATACATTTCTTAAAAGTAAAAAGGGCTCTGTAGTAGCTTTGTTTGAAAGCTATGAGGTTAACATTAAATTGTGCCAGAATAAAAAAGGCCGTAAGTTGAAGACCTGCAACAGCTCATCTTCCAAATCAGAAGATATCATAGCATTAACCACCAAACAGATGTTCCACTTGCATACTGTGCCAATATCTTTGTATCTCTTCTTCTTTCTTTAGTTCTGCTTCCATCTCCTAGAACACCAGTTGGTCTCAGAAGATGGCCGCTCACACTGAGCCTGTTTCTGCTGGAGGTTTCCTTCTGTTAAAAGGAAGTTTTCCTCTCCACTGTTGCTACAAGCATGCTTGGTGTGAGGGATTGCTGACAAGTCAATGAGTCAATGCCATCAGCTGGTTTTCCTTAGATAGAAAACTTTGAACCAATCTGACTAAAGTTCCTCAAGATGATGTGTTGTAAATTGGTGCTATATAGATAGTGGAATAAACTATAATCTTTATAGTGACCTTAAACTTATAAGTCAAAACTTCAGATTCCTTGTTGCCTCATTATAATAGCCATGCTAACAGGATTCTCCAACCAATCAGTGCATATGTTGTCTAAATATTGTACATTCAACAAAGCAAAAATTAACTGAAAATCACTAAAAGGAAGCATGTCAGGTGGAAAAAAGCCACAATTAAGGGTTAAATTAAAAAAAAACAAAATAAATAAAAAAAACTCGAGTTGCCGTCTGACAGTTTCATGTCTTTATGATACACCTGAGTTTACACTATGGAACACTAAAGGATTTTTCTATTCTACATTTTACAATTGAAGCCAGATGTTTCACTTAATAAAGATAAACAAAGCCTTGTATATCCCAGAACTGCTAGAATAATAAGAAAGACAATATATTAAATATAATTTAACATGTTTTATGCCTTTAAACAATTTAGTATAATGGCTATGTGAGGTTCTGATTAGTTAACTCGAGGTGCACATGGTCTTTGTCTGTGATATCATAGAAATATCAGAAGAAATCCTCTGCGATATCAGGTAGAGATCGTTAGTGCTTCAGAAGCCTAGCTCCTCCTTGATAATAATTTGTAGATGCCTGAAGATACAACTCTTTTCTGTTCAAATACTTTAATGAAACATATTTTGTATGATATCTAATGAGAATTCTAGATCCTGATAGATAAAAAAGTGATGTCTAATCAACCAGACCTTGGAGATAGACGTCCAGTGGTTTGAAGGAAAAAACATGTTAACATGAAGTGAACAACAGATGGAGAGGAAGACTGACCGTTTTAAAGTCTCGGAAAGGGACGAATTGCACAATGTCCCTGAGGACAGGTTCGCCTTTCGGTGACCGCAGCACACCATCGTCTCCATCCAGAATCTGCATGTCTGTGAAATCTGCGTTGCCCACGCCAACAATGATAATCGAAAGAGGCTGGTAGGATGCTCGAACAATGGCTTCACGTGTGTCTGCCATGTCTGTGACCACACCATCTGTGAGGATGAGCAGGATGTGGTATATCTGCAAGACAGTAGGAAAAAATGTTTTATGTGAAAATTAGCTTTATTGATCTCGGCACTATTTGTTCTTGAGCAAGGACACCCTCCAGTATGTGGGGGAGGACTTTATTGTTATTTTGAAGTATGTTATGCTTCACTCAACCGTAGCCGTGATAAAGTGGCCCTTAAAGGAGCAGTAAGTAAAAATTTACTGTAAAATTAACCAAAATCTTTCTCGTTTGTCCCTAGGATGGAAAAAAAAAACATTCTTTATTAACAGTTCTTTCGTTCAACAATGTTGTTGTCAAATTTTCCTCCTATCAAAACTAGAGATAAGGGATGGAACTACTTTTGTGCTGAGTGTAACCTGTGTTTACTTACTGATTCCAGAGCAAAATACTTCAGGAATTTCAAGGACTGCCATTGTGCAGCATTTGGTATATAGCCAAAAAGAAAAGTGGAGCAGAGAAGTCTCAATACTTAAAAGGTCTGAACATCCTTCAAAAGTATTATCTCTACAACTTACTTTGGCTGAATGGTCTCCACTCATCATCATAAATTTAGCTCTGCTACGTTCTCATCTCTCTTAACTACATATCAAATAACACCATCATATATTAAAGGGGTCATAGAATGCAAAACCGAGTTTACATTGTCATAGATGAATAAGATAGTTCAGTGGGTGAAATGGACGTACAGAGAAGTTCAAATCTCATCGACACCTCCTTTCTCTGCAAATCTAACAATTCTAAACTGATTCTAAATTCTAAATTGGTGTTTCAGTGAGTGAGTGCTTGTTGCTATGATGCGTCTTTGCTGCCCAGCTTCGCTCGTTGTAAACCAACCAATCAGCACACAGCTCATCTAAATATTCATGATCATACCATAAAAGGTAGAAAAGCTGTCGTTTCATTCTAGAGCTTATAACCAGGCTTGCATTAGGGCTCGTAGAACAGCAAATATGTCATTTTCAGCCCTACCAATTTGACACACCCTATTCAGAGACCTTAAGGACCAGCACCAAAGACCCTATAGAATCATTCTATGACCTCTTTAAATAAAACTTGCCAATAAAACATGAATGTACATACTTTTTGCATGAGCTGAATAGTTAGAACATAAAATAAAAAAATTTGTCTTTCTGCTTAATTTTTTTTGCAACAAGTGAACCCATACCTGAATAAGTGGTCTATATAGCTTCTGGAAAAGTTTTATTTGATAGGTGGTTACAATTGCTGTTTTGGAAAATAAACATTTCATTTTCATTTCTTTTATTGCTACACCAGAGCTTCTTAATGCCCTCCTAAAACCTTATCTACTGAATTTCACATTGAATTGTATATTTTTAATTAGCCAATATAAAGTGCAGTCCAAGCAGTTCTGTGGAATATTATATAGCCATAAAATTAAGATAATACATTTGCAACATATTGTGGACTTTCAAAACAACTTATGTATTATGTTTCAACATACACTTGCCTGTTTATAATACACTCTTTACTTTAAAATTGATGTGTAGGTTTTTATTCACAAATAAAAAAACTCCATTAGCATTATACAGGTGCACTCCTTAAATTCAGAATATGACACAAAAGGGTATAAGATACATCAAATAACATACCATTATATGGAATTGTTACTTCTTTTGCACCATTTCACATTATTATCACAACGCTAAAACTCAGAAGCTACTCACTTATGAATCTCAATGGGAGGCATAAAAACAAAGCCTGTATTAAATCCATATATCACTGAGCCACTCACAGATGCATCTTTAATGTTGCCATCGCCTGCTGCCACCTTGGCTATCCTGTTAATGATCGGAGCAACGTTTGTGGGGCCATATAATTGGATCTTAGGAAGGCAGCTCTGATATGCCTCGACGACTCCTTGGATCCCTGATCAAACAGAAGAAAGAAGAAAAGGATTATCAAACAAACTTACATTTATTTCTCTTTTGTATTTCACAAAAGAGATCCCCTGAAAGAATGAGTAATAATATCTTCCAAGAAGTTTTTATATAACTTGGACTTTGTTACATTTTACCATGTTGCAATCGCTTACTATAATGCAGTTCATCAGAATTTTATGTGCTAGACAAAGATTAAAAAAAAAGTGGAAAACTATTGTGATATCGAAATAATGGAGAAAAATGTTTCGAAATTCCTATAAAAGTGTTTTTCAGTGATGCTATTCAGAAGTATCAGATTAAATGGGGTTAAATACAAAGGCATTGCTCACTTTTAAGATTGCTACTTTATTTTTTGTTTTAAACCCCATATATTCCTTCTTTTTTAATATGCACTAATTGTTGTATAACTTAAAATTACAATAAATCATTTATTCTAGTGGGTGAAAAAAAATTGAAAAGGTTAGCTAAAAATCTAGATAACCATTATGTATAAATACATACATTAGTAAATGAAATAGGAGATTTCTAAAGCATCTAATTGTAGATTTTGCTGTTACCGACAAAAACATTGTAGGAACAGAATATGAAGATCCCCCCTTTACCTTCACATTCATCATCCTCGGGGTTGAAATTAATGGCGAAATCATGTGAGACCTGCAAATAGAGATCGGAAAATTAAGTCAATCTGAACTTCTTCACTATTTTAAAAGCCTTCCTTTTCTTTAATGGCATCGTTAACTTATAAAGGAGTATCCTACAGAAAAAACAAGACCTTAATTACCCGAAAAGGCAAAAAGGGACAAAGTTCTAACATCTGTGTGTATGTGCTCTCAAAGAAGTAAACATCAGTCTTTAACTTTGAGCCAATGACCTAATGACCTAATTTAACAGTTCGAACTTGATGACTATCTATATGTTCGCTTGCATTACTTGTGGATGGCTTTTGACTAAGACTATTTAAAGACATCGACATGCCTGGAGTACACAGCTCCCGTCTGCCTCACTTTGCCTTCTTGGTGACATCAAAAAAGTCTATTCTGAAATGAATAGATACCACATCCTTCTTGCAAGTTTAAGCATAAAAAAAAACTATACTTAGTAATCAAAAGAGTTTGTATATAATTTATTTTCGAATTACTTATTGCATTTTGTTGCTATGGAGAGAACATCTGCTTGTATGAAAAACCAAGAGAAGAAATCCAAATTAGTTTATTCAACACCCACTAGAGGTGTAGTGGTGTAGGACCAGCCACCTTGGCCTTGAGGGCCCAGGTGTCTGAGGATGTAAGGACTGGGGCGGCGGTCCCTAAGCGATCTTGGCAGTTAGAATACATTAGAAAGACTTTATTGTCTGTACCAGACTGGAACACAAAATCTTATTGATCAGGGTTCCAGCAAAGCACATCTGAACTTAAAATGAAACACTTCAAAACATGTATAAGGAGCGCATAAATATACATATACAGGAGGTTTAAGGTCAATCGATTATTTCTCGAAAAACTCTCATGAGTCGAACCCAGGCATGGTTGGATGGTATGGAATGATTTAGTTTTCTGTTTCCCAATGAGAAAGTTGTTCCAGGATAAAATGTAAAAACTGATACAAGACTATATGAGCAATTTTTAAATCTGTGTTAAAAGTTCCTTCTTTAGATTAAAAGATTGCAGTTTCCTCTGGAGGTGTAGCCATTGAAAGCTTTTTAGAAGTCATTTTCAAGGCTACTTGATATCAATTTCTGTCAAAAAGGCATCTAAAACACTCCACTATCTGCCCCTGGATATTAAGTGGCTGGGAGAGATATAATCTAGGATCTCTTTCTTTGCCCCTCCATCACAACTCTTTGTCTTTGTGGTGTTAATTTCCAAAAACACAAAACACTTTTACCAGGCTCAGTGTTATTACTGGGGTAGAGCATCAAATGAGATGCCTTGGCTGTGTTGTCTGTGTTTTAAAAAAGTAACAACCCCTCACGGTTGCAGGACAAGCTGTTTGCATACAAAGAAACTAGAACAGGAGATAAAACACTACTTCGGGGGAGATCTGTGTTCAGGATTTATGGACCGGACCTGTTCTGGTCTGGTCTATAAAATTTGAAGTCCATAAAATCAGTAGTGAGTGAACCTGTAGGTGTAAAAGGCAGTGCAGTAAAATGCTGTACAGTGCTAAAAGTGCAAGAGAAGCCCATGAATAAAGTCCTTGTGTGGCTGTGCAGAGTCCAGATGTTTGGTTGTGGCATCTAAAAGCATGAGCTGGCATCTCCATCCTACACCTCTCCTACAGGGAAACTGCCTTATATGGACAGAAACACACTTATTTCTATACCTACCTCCTTCTGTGTGTTTTTTTTTATCTTCCATTAACAACCATTCCTGTTTCATTTCATTCTATAGCCATACCTTGGCTCAAACCCTAAAATGTACTTAATACCACTACATACCAATCAGTAAACCTAACTTATTGAGGTCACACTTAGTCCTTACTCCTAACCATTCAGCCCAAAGCAGCAAGCATGAGACAGCAGCAAATACATGTACACATCTCGTGGGAAAATACATAGCCATACAGACACCTTAACTCAACCTAAACACCCATACATAGACAAAGGCTATAAATAATCCAAATGGTAAAAGATCATAAAACTACAGATTACTACATTAAGGTGGCCTGCCCGCTTTGGTAACGAATCCATTCTTTATTTAGTCCATCATACAATTAGGGCTAACATTTTTGTAGCTCGACTCTGCCCTGGCACTATATGCAATTAACTTTTCTGCATAGTACTATATGCCAGAAATGCCCTGAAACGACACAGGACAGAACAAACAATTAAAGAAAATTGCATGGCCTTAATTCCAACCGTTGCATTTGCGAATTCTCCCGAGTGGTCCATGACTGTACACGAGAGAATAAAGTGAATATGATTGGTCCATTATCAAGGGGGCGGGGTTTTTGTGCCGGAAGGTTCGCAAGCAATTTTGGTTGTGACCGGTGTCTCAGAAGCATCTTGCTAACCAGTTAGCAACACAGTACTATTAGGTTCCCAATGGGAAATTACATTGGGACCAATGAGCACTTAGAAACTGTCAAGGAACACTATGGACAGCAGAAACATGCGAGAGGAGGAGAGTTTTGTGTTAGATGTCGTGGATGAGTCTCCTCCGTCATACATCTTTTATTTAGAGGAAAGCGGAGACGAAGATGTTGTGGAAGAGGACGCAGGGTGGAAGAAGCTTTGTTTGGTGTAGAAGGCTTACAGCCGTACATGTTTGACCCCTTGCCTCGCAACGCTGCCAGTTCTGTTAGCTCTACGTCTGCCGAAGACACAGACGTTCAACTTCATTAACACCGGGATGTAACTGAATGGTAAAGTAAATGATTCTTATTTCTTATTTCAACCGTATTAGCTGCGACATATGAATGAAGATGCTATGACCAAAAAAAATTTGATTGACATATGATCATTGATATATGATTGGCAGAATTTAGGTGTACAAGCTGACATATAACTAACTGGCCTGCATAAGATAGCGAAGAAAAAAAACATAGATCTTAAGATTTTTTTTTTTTTTAAACAGAAATTTTCTAAATTTTGAGACAATATCGTCTGATAAAGAGTACATTTATATACACGTTTAAGTGTGATTTGACATTTAAACATGATTTCCCTACGACTTTAACCTCCACAAATATGAGAAAACCTATGACAACTTGAAAGAACAAATTGTATTCATACAAGTTCATCTAAGGAAATATCTGAATTTAACATAAGAATCGAACCCTGATATTGTTCAGAACACAAAGAACTAGCCTATTTTTCCATGGATATAGTATAATATGTTTTTTTTTACCCTATTCTCTAAGAGTATTATCAATTTGGCATGAATCTTGAAAAAGCACTAGCGGACAAACATGAAGGTTTTGTAAAAAATTAATCAGGTTTTTCAAAGTATTGAATTTGTGTAAACAGTTTCCCCTCCTGTGTTATCTGGTTTTAATGCAACACAGCACGAAATCAATAACATGAGCTGAATGTCTAGTATGGGATCTTAGTTTGCATTTTTTTCCAATCATTGGGTTTATTCCAATCATTCAAACTTTACTCGGATACTGTTTATCACTTAGTGTTTTAACAGGCAACTCCCCACTGTGTTGCTTCCACTGACTAGAGACAGTCTTTTCTGGGAGCACAGGCTGTCTGCCAGATCACTTACAATTGATTTCTGTCCAACTGGCTCCTATTTAAAGGCATTTCAAGATTACTTTAAAAAAAGCAAGCGACTGTGAAGAAATTTTACGGGATGACAACTTTGTTTCTGTCATGAAAGAAGATGTAGCTTCTATCTGTCTTAACAGATTATTTTGCATCTGATCTTTTAGTATAATAGCAGGAAACACAGTGACCAGCAGCAGTACAATTTTTTCTTCAGCAAATATACTCACAGTGCTAATATACTCACAAATGGAAGAAAACTGAATTGAAACTACAGCACAGTTGTAACTGCATATATTCAAGTGCTGGGGAACATAAAGCACCTGCCCTCCCTATGTTGCCATGGTCACCAAATGATTTGCATAAGTATGTACACAACAGTTTGCAATCAGCAGATGGATCTAACAGCAGTTAGAAAATGCAAAAATAATCAATTTGTATTCAGTATTATCTGGTGGTAAATAGCACAACACATGAAGTGGTGGAATGCATCAGGCAGTAGATATAGTTCTATTTATTGGGAGAAAGTCGAGTAACTAGTAAGAGGTTTTTGAGCTCAGAATTCAGAGGAGTTGTAGATAAAACCTAAAAAAAATATTTTTTACAGCAATGAACCCTGATAATCTAATTTCCTTTCCACAACACATTACAAATGGTGACCAACATTGAGATTTTGGAATATATACATATATATACAGAGATGGGAAATAACGAAGTACAAATACTTCGTTACTGTACTCAAGTAGATTTTTCTGATATTTTTACTTTACTTTACTACTTATTTTTATGGCAACTTTTTACTTCTACACCTTACATTTTAATACAAATATCTGTACTTTCTACTCCTTACATTTTAAAAATTGGCTCGTTACTTTAGTTTTGAATCATTTTAATGGAGTTACCGTTATTATTTTTCACATCATCAATACCAAATTCAATCTAATTGGATGGGAATCTACGTTGCATTTGACGCACCACTACAAGATGAATCGACAGATTCGGCAGTATTCATTCACGGCAAATCATTCCAGCTTGGTGGCGGTGGTGTCAGCATAGTAGTATGGACGACGAGATGATCGAAAATGAACACAACGGAGATCTAGTCCTATTGGCAGACATCCATTTAAAATGTAGGCAACGGCATAAAAAAAGTGTTTTCTACTTTTACTTTTATACTTTAAGTAAATTTATAAGCTTGTACTTTGTTACTTTTACTTGAGTAAAGAAGTTTAATCAGTACTTCCACTTTTACCAGAGTATTTTTTAACACAAGTATCTGTACTTTTACTCAAGTACGGAAAGTGAGTACTTTTGCCATCTCTGTATATATATATATATATTTTTTTTTTTTAATTACATTAATTGAGAGTTGCTTGTCTCCTTTCTGTTGGTTTAAGGACAAAAGCCTGATTTATACAAAGTCAGCAAAGATCTCAGCTTTATATATATATATATATATATATATATATATATATATATATATATGTATATATATATATATATATGGGCGGGACAGAAGTAATTCTTAGTATAAATACTATATAAAAGCTAAGAGTGTTTTCTTGTAATTCTTCTATGTTTGTCTCCTCCTCTTTCTCTTGCATGTCTGCAACCCCTCTCCTGACACAATATATGGATGCATGACATGAACAACTGGACAATTTGGGGTGCAACAATCCATGTGGATTAAAACATAGTTTTAAATTTATTATGAGCTTGGATATATAAAATCACATCCATATATTGCATTTATTTCATTTTTTGATGATAATATATAGCAATAATACATTTGATGTATCAGCACTTTTAATTAAACAAATATACAAATAAATAAATATATTATTGAAAATGTGGAGGAGGATCTTGAAGTGGATATGTTAATTTATGGAGCCGTTGAAGGAGTTCGTGCTGTTACACAGTTCTTTGAAAGTAACTTACACTTTGTCTTTTAAAGAAGACTCTTATGTCTCTCTTACTTTTTTTAGACCTTCTGACTGCGAGTCTAATAACGGCAGTGTAGTTGGATGTAGGAGTTTGCCCTGAAATTGAAGGGTTGATTGGTTCAAGCCCTCCGGTTTTCAGTGTTGTTGTGTCCTTAGGCAAGACACTTCACTTGCATTGCTTACTGATGGTGGTCAGAGGACCCCGGGACGCCAGTGTACGGCAGCCTCGCTTCTGTCAGTGAGCCCCAGGGCAGCTGTGGCTACAATGTAGCTTGCCACCATCAGTGTGTGAGCGTGTGAATTAATGGGTGAATGACTGAATGTTGTGTAAGCACTTTGAAGCCTCCTGACTTAAAAAGGTGCTATATAAGTATATACCATTAAGCATTTTAACCAAACACACTCACATGACACCAATTCAGATTTGTGTAAATTAATCCACCTGATATTACAACCCTTCTAGATTACGTGACCCAAAAGAAGAAAAATGCCTAATTTACAGTAGTAGATTCCCTCACCAACTGTGGTCTTTTGCAGAGCCATATTTTTCTACAAGACCTTTCAAAGACCCGATCAGATGTTTGTAAAGTGGGCTTTTGGAGTGACAGCGCAAACAGCCAATCACACAGGAAAAGATGGAGGTTCAATCAGGAGCTTGTGGGCGGACTAGACCCAGGGAAGCGGGCTTCAGCTTGAGCTGTGGCTTTCCGCTTTGTCCTAGTGCTTGACGAGTATCGGTATACTGTAGCAGAACATTGTTTTTTCTTTTGTTTTGTTTTTGTTTGTTTTTTTTACCGTAAAAAGTGCACAAGACCAAAACAGACTTTTGAAAAAGTACCCCCCAACTTACGTCCGTGCCAGAAGCTATTGCTTGAAAAATTCGGAAATCTGCTTTTGATTAGTTTATTTGTTTTTGCAAAGAGAAACTCTTTTAAGTTAATTATTGTCAATATTGGTGTACCTGAGGGTGTAGCTTTACTTTTTTATTCACTCTTTATTTAGCCATCTTGGTCCCATTGACATTGGAGTCTAGGCTGAAGGGGGGCAACAAATGAAACGAAAAGTTGCAAAAAGAAAAACAGCAAATTAGGAAGAGTGGGTGGATTTGAAGAACGTTTAGTTTGAAAGTAAAAGCACACAGTGAGATAAGTTTACTTAATTCTAAAGTTTTGTGATGCACGTTCCAAGAGGAGGGAGCTGAGTGAACAAAGGCCTTCCTGCCTATTTCATTCTGGCCAAAAGGGACCTAAAGATGCAGTAAATTATGTGAACGAAAGGTAAACAAGTAGTAATTTCTCAGTGCAATTATAGAAAATATATAGTCCCGAGCAGTCCATGAAATGCCTTGTGAAGAAAAGTTAACCTATGGGAATTCCTTCAAGGAGGCCAAACCTTCAAGTTTTCAAATCAGGGATAATTAAAGTTCCTTCAACTGAAGATGCTTAACTGCAAGAATTGATGAGATTAGGTGGTCACAAAAATGAATCCAACCCCTATCATTTTCCTGACGTATGCATAAGAACTTTAAGGTGCTAATATTAATGTTGAGGAACATTACATACTCTTCTCACAGAGCTGTTTTCCACACATGGTTGTGGCACATATGAACAACAATAAGAATATCAAAGCCATTTGAAGCCGGATTCATCAAACCTGCAAACTTAATGCACACAAAGCTCAAGTTCAGAGAGAAGTTTGTGATTAGTATAATGACTTAATTAACATTCAACGGCACCAGCAACCTCGATGTGTCAACAGCATGCAGTCTGACAAACACGACTCCTACAAGGCATGACTGTTGTGTTAAATTCAGAAACTGTGTTTCCATTTGCTGTGAGCCAAACGTTTGCATGACTGAAATGATTAAGTGCACATCACTTTGCAGTTTTGCTTTAAACATAGGCCAGCCTTGTTTGATATGTTTACTGTTTAAGTGTTTCATCTGTGTGTTTGTGTTTTTGCACAAACTCATGCACAGTTATTCCTCACAGTTAGGATTTCTCCCCAGGGTGCTAATTGGAGTCGCAAACAGCTTTCTGTTATTAAAGGGCAATTTTCTTAAACAAATGCATGTTTAAATTGGGCATCAATAACCTGTAACTTCAGCTTTATAAGAACAGGATTTTTTATTCCCAGGACAGATTGGTATTTTAAAATAAGGGGTTCATGAATAAAATACACTCCCTAATTAGTTTTAAATGTGAAATTTTGATGAAATGACAACTCGTATCATGAAGTAGGTCATGGATGTCATCTTGGTGACCATACAGTCTGAAGGTGCAGGAAATTACCAAACTTCTAAATGACAACAGAATATGCATATGTTATACAAACACTGCTCATGTTAAGAGAGGTAAGGGTGGAATAAGGGGTTAAAAAAAAAAAAAACTCACCTCATAATTTGGTGGAATTCTGGCACCAAAGCCCAGAGCTGAGAACCGCTTGTCACTAAAAACAAAAAGGAAACATCTTTTATTAATTAAATCCAAATTCAATATCACTGTAGTTTTTCAGATATCTGTGAAAAATTATTGTTTTATTGTTCACATTTCCAAGGGCACACCCCATGCTTGTTTGCATTTCATAACACGATAAAAGCTTGAATAACAGTTTGGAATCAGTCCTATGCTCCCTGCAGCCAGCATTTGCACCTGTTCAAAGAGCTTCTCTGGGTCTTTCATCTCCTCATATTCCATTGTACCATTTGCATGAGCTGTACAACGGTGAAAGACTGCGGTGCTGGAGTGAGCGCCCCCAGTCAAAGGCCAGGGTGTATAAATGTGAATAAATAACAATAAAAATTCACAATGCAGGCTGACTCCCTCATTGTAAAATAATGCACCAAATTTCGAGTCCGTTCAATTGTGCGGTGCAATTTTGATCATAATATTTTCTGTTTATTTGAAATTTATATTTTGGAAAAGGCTTTTTGTTAAAGTATCCGAATAAAAACACTACTTGAACACATTCTGCATAACACTGCATGTAGTAGAACAATAACAAGGCAAATGTTGGCACGAGGTTGACATCTTGTTTAAACTCTAAGAACATAAACCCCCATTGTGGTTTAATAATACACACAGCATCATTCCAACATTACTCATTCTTTTTATTAAAACTTTATTTGACTAATGAAATTCAGCAAGGACAACTTCCAAAGAATAAAGGCTTTTTTTTTTTTACTTGTTTTCTAAATTAACCTTTTAGCACATCTTAAGAACTCCATAAGGCATTGCCGCAAGACATGTCCCAGGACAAACATATTGTCAGAGGTAAAAAATTAGGACATTTTTTTGTTTTAAGAACACATCTTGAGCACAAGTAATTTCTACCGTGTGTCATATAATTTAGATATATCAGGTAAGACTTTATGTAGGATGGGATTTTGCTTTTTCCTGATGGAATAAGTAAAAAAAGTCTTCAATTTGAGGGGAATCATGCCAGGTTGGCAGCACATTTTTTATCATAAATCCGTTTGGGGTCAGACTGGCCTGACAAAACTTAACGATATAGCTTATAGGGTAATTTTCCTTTGAAAGAAGGGGCTTTAGATTGGTAATGAGGAATCACACATTTAAAATCAATAAACCACTGTATAATAATAAGTGTTATTTAAAAGGAATTTGCTGTTAAATCACATGAATGTATGCTTTGTATGCTAATAATATATTCAGCTGGTTGGATGACACTTCACAAACCTGACACACTTGATAGTGCTCCACATGCTAAAGGTCACAAAAAGTGATGGAAGCATTGTAATGAAAGAGAGGAGTGAGGAAAATGTTATGAGAGGAATAAATTTTACTGAGGTAGAGATGGGTTAGAGTAGTAGTGTGGTGTTTTTTGGTTGCTCTGAGACCAGAATCAACTGTAGCTTTGTAAAAAAAATAAAATAAATAAACTTCTGAAACAATTTAAATGCATCTTATGCATCTTGATCAATACATCTTTTGCGGTCATTTTAATGCAGCCCCTATGTGCTGAGGATGAGAAGATCAGAGAGAGAAAAAAAATGTTAAAAAACAGTGGAAATACATGTTTTTTTGTTGTGTTTATGTTTTTACAACACAGAGAAAGAAATAAAGACTGGTGAGATTAAATGTATAATGGGGGATTTTTGCTAATTTTTTTAAAGACCTGCCCTCTCCGCTTCAATTTACTCCAAAAAAGTGCACATGCACAACTCTGTACCTGCTCCCGAGATGGAACGCCTATTAAATGCATGCAAGAGCATTCACAAGCTAATTTCTCCTCATGCACGCTCTATTTAAAAGTTGCTGTTCTCATAGCTCATAAAAGCTTTCTGTGTCCGAACGTCCGCACTAACCCCTTACTCCCTCAATCACTATATAGAGCGGGGTCTATATAGTGGATTTTATAGCGAACTCAGTTAACTTACCGTTCAGACTTATGATCACCGCTTTTTTGCTTCCCATTTTGCTTCCACCGTGCTGCGCCATCTTTCGTATTAGTCGCCGCTGTGAGTTAGCGACAGCCTTTGCCAACAGCAGACCGCTGTGACAGCAAATCCAATAATGCTTTGAGAGGAGAGCTCCTCGCACAAAGCATTCTGGGATATATCTGCCTTTTCTGAGGCCTTTTTTTTCTTCTCATATACATCGTAGACACTTTTTATTTTACGACCCTCAGCCATTTTCAAAGAACAGCGGTCTGAAAGGTGAGCTTCAGTGACTGTCTGCAACCGTGGCTCACCACAGATATGCCTGAAAGTGAGCATGCACAGAAAAAAATTGCTAAGTGTGGACGAGCAAGTAGGACGGCCTTACGTAAACATATCACCAGATTGATTTAAAATTAGGAGGACCACTTATTTAGATGATCCATTTGGAAAAAAAACATCTCCCATTATACCTTTAAGTCATCCACCTCCATTGGTCTCCTTTACTCATGTTGCCTTCAGTGAATGCAGTCAGTAAACATTTACCTGTAGATGCAGTTTTTAGAAATGCTTTTTATCTGTTTAACATGTTATAAAATTCTAAAATTTAAACCACAAGTGCCATTTAGTTAACAAGTTACTGTTTGAGATTACCCTCATAGTGTTAGGGTGCACCAATAACAAATAGTTAAGTACATCAGCACCCCTTAGTCAGGTTGGATCCCTAATAAAGGTTAGGTTTGAAATGAGCTGAGAGGGGAAAATAATTATTTTAATGTTTGCAGCAACAACTGTTTTTAGCATGGTTACTTAGATGCTACTACAAATGGATTTTGTCTTGGTCTTCAACTTGGCCTAACCTCCCTCAAAGTTTTAAACTTGGCTTAGTCTTGACAGTCTATAACAATAGCCCAAAGAGAGGTACTGAGAAAACGTGAGTTTCATGAGTAGGTGAACTGAAAATAGGCTTGTCAATCCATGTAATGTTTTTGGAACATGGTGTCACATAAACTCCATTTTCCTCTTACTGTCTCATTGTATGTTAGCTAATCTTATCACTCTGTAATCCCCTTAGATCTGAGGGTGTTTGTGCACATGTCTCTCTAAAGCCTGTCCACTGTGATAACCCTTCTTTCACATACTGGTAATCAGGATTAGTTCTAGCCCCCAACCATGCACCATACTCCAGATGGTATAGATACAAAATAGATGTATGTTTATTGTAATATGATCAAACGAGGAAAAATGTTCTGTAAGTCGTTTCAAATAGAGCATTTACAGATAAAGAACAGAGCTGTCACATCTTGTTTTCCGTTGAATCTGTGACAGTTTGCCTACAGACAGCTTTCTCTAATGGTTGCTTCTTTTATCTGACCATTTACTTCATTTCATGCTTTTTTCGTTCTTGTTCTCCAGTTCAGAGAGATAACAAATACCATCCTTTCCCACTCTGGATAATCATAGTTTGGGGCACAAACACTGGAGAACATATTTAATTCAGCAAGATTGCGTGAAAATAGCAGAAGAAAATTTACTGCATAAGCAGGTGATGAGTTTTTTTGCTTGGTTGTGACTGCTGCTGTAGTAAATAATATTGCTTTGAGGGAGCTCTACCGATATTACAGTGTTTGATTTACTGTGATGGATGCAAACTTGTAAAAGCATTGACAGAAGGATGATTTGCAGAAAGGGCATTTTGATAACTTTTAGGTAATGCTACTTTAAACTGATAATGTTCGATTTCAAGCCATAGCATCTTCACTATATGTTAATATTTTTTTGCATTATGTGAGTGGGCAAATTTCCAATGATATTTTTATTGAACATAATTTACAATAGCTATAAATTGTAAGACCTCAAGCTATACGGCCTCTAAGCTATCTCTAGCTTGAATACAATGTGTGTTTTGACCTTCTGTTTTGTAACCAGTTTTCTTAGAATAAAGCCCATCAATAATGATAAAAAATTGAAATGCTCCCCCGTTTCAAATAACCTTTCCTTTCTTTTCAGCTGATCCTGCGTATTGTATCCTCATATAAATGCTTTTCAGTCACAATGCTTTTCCGAATCCCACAGAGGTCTTGTTTATTACAACCATTTACACATTTTATGGAAGTTTCATCCACTTTCATCCAAATAAAATGGCTCTGCTGAATAAAACCCACTGTTGTTACATTTCAAACAGACTGATTTAACCATAGGAAAATCAAACAACACTGCCCCTGGTTGTGGATCATCTTACTTTAAGAAGAACTATAGCTTTATTGTTAAATTATAGGAATTCAAGAAGGAGTTATTAATGTCTGGTATTTCTCAGAATAATACTGTATTTTTCAATGTTTATAAAACAATTTTAAACTAAATAAAATGACAAACAAAAAGCTTGATTAAAAGAGTCTTTACTTTTAGGATCTCAGAAAACTTGTATTTTTTCTAAATAGAAATGATACTGGAAAGCATGATGGCTGGACAAATATATGAACTGATGGAAAGGCTTATATGCTAGTTATATGACGAGGCTCTGCTTCTGCTTAGTTTTTATTAATTAAGTTAAGCTCAAAGTAGTAGTAGCAGAAAAGTGTGATTTTATTTTCTAGAAGTGGGATTTACAGGAATATGGTATATCATGACCGCAAACGAACAAAAAAGACTCATGCTAAGTCATCTTCATTTTAAGTTTTGCTTTCGAGTACAAAGTGATCCTTCCCAACTCATTTTGTCAGCACCCTCGAGGAGCCACATGGAGATACATCCAGAGTAACTACCCTCTTAGAGAGGTAACTGAGTCTCTACCCACACAACCAAAAAGCTAGTCACTGCAGCTCCTTCATGCACTCCTCTGCAAGGACTCAAAAATCCCACATCACCTATGTTCACTAAAGGCTAAAAGGTTTTCTCGCCCACGCTTTACACCTTAGTAACAATTCTAACTTTAAAGGGAAATACCTCCTACATTTGCAGTCCCAATGTCCATGTATCATGCTTTCATATGAACATGTAAAAAATACAGCTACCAGGATCAGCTGCAGGTTTTGAGAGTCTATCTTTC